CACTGCTGAAGTGGAATAGTGCAAATTCGAGAAAACCTGGATAAATTTTCAAATGCCCCTCTTCAGAGACACGCGCAAATCTTCACGACAATCATGGACGAACTTATTGCGAACCTCGACAACCCGACAGCAACAAGCCCGTCCCTACGGGAATCCGGAGAGAAGCACGTTTTCCAGACCAGAGATCAATGTGAGTTCCGTATGCTACAGGCGTTAGCCACAAACTTGCTTTCTTTCTTCTCGGCTGGTACAGCTTTATAGCCTTTTCGAACCCATTCCGATAGTACGCTGAGCCTATCTGTTCGGGAGATAACGCTATCCTTCTAGTTTTTTTTCTTTTGGCATCTTCCGTGAGAATTCCTAGCTTTTCTTCCCGTTTGGGTATATTCACTCATTGTAGTCGCTGTTTATCATGTGCGAAATTTCGCATAAGAATATTTCCTAGTTAAAGGGTCCTTGGGAGATCGCCTCAATGGGGAACAGCTCTAATAAGAAGGGCCAAAAATCGTTTTGGAAAGGCTCTTCGAGAAGCAGCAAGCGGTGGCAACACTACCCATTTTTACTACGTAGAGGCCTTAATTCGCTTAGTTCAAGCAAAACGCTGCTCTGATGCCAACTGTTTCCAACTGTTGATGTCGAGAAGTCGTACAGGCTATGGGTTTTCCTCCTTGTGATCGCTCTTTCAGACGGCAGGACTTTTTTGTCCCTTCCCTTTTTGCAAAGTACAAAATTGTCACTTGAGTTACGGGAAAGACGGCACGCATGTGGTACCTAGGCGTTATCGGGTACCATTCAAGGGTAGGGTGAAAATCGGTCGAGATTCGGTCACGACTCGTCGAGGATTTTCGCCTGTTCAGTCACGCTCTCCCGCGCGGACATTCACTCTCGCCACGCGCGAGCCGTCTGTGCTCTCCGCGCGTACATTCACTCTCGACACTATCTCTCACACAATGCGGAGATATGGTCGAGGAATTTCACTACCATTATTAACCCCGGTCAAGAGGCCTCCTGCGACGCAGGGGGTCGGGCATAGAGAACGATGGGCGAGTTTTCGCGCTTACTCTGGCGTTGACTCAAACAGGCGGTAGTGTAAAAGATAGGGGACAATAAGGAAGGTTGAAAAGGTAAGTGAAAAAAAAACACAAAAATCTCCTTCCCTAGAAGACTGGCCTCGACCTGTGCAGAGAGTGGCTGAATACTAAATTTAGCCAAAAGTCACAGAAAAATTTGCACCCCATAGTTGAAATTTGAAAAAAAGGACCCAAACACCATACAGCTTTCAATTTTTGAACAACAGCATCCGTCCGTTTGTCCTTCAAAAACCCTTATTCACCCGCATGTGAGTATTGTGGATTTTCGCGCTCAGGAGGCGATAAGAAACGTCTTTCGATTGAACTAACATACATTCTAATGGAAACAATCATTGAAAGTTCGAGATAGTCATTTATTTATTTATTTATTTATTTATTTATTTATTTATTTATTTATTTATTTATTTATTTGTTATTATTTTTTATTTTTTCTATTTATTTGTGTACCACTAAGCCAAAAGCCCCGTCCTTTACAATTCCAAAACCAACCGTCTTGTTAAAGGAACATGTGATTCCAATGACACTCTCTATTTGTTTCATTTATAAAAATGACCATATCGATTTGTAGCGACTTTCTGGCCTGGTGAAGTTCACTTGACGCTACGTTTTCCCACTTTGAGGACACATGTGTTGGGATGATCTGACAAGTGCAAGGCGTAAAAGCTTAGGGCTGCAGCACTGGCACCGCCCAGCATGATGGCTACGTCCCAAGCGTCGAACGTCCGGAATCCCTGACTGAAATGAAACTTTTTCCCGGGAACAGTGCAGTAGAACGCAGCCGGGGAGCATGGACACAGCTGTTGGCATGATATGACTAGGCCGAGGCGCTAAGGATGCAGTAATGGCCCCGCCCAGCATACTAGCCCCACTCCAAATCTATGCTATTTCTGCTACTGCAGAGGAGGGCTTTGTTTTCCCCATTGTCGATTTTTCCGTTTTGATTTTTCCCGATTTTCCATCATCGGCGTTACATTTCACATCTCCAATGTCACTTGCAAACACAACAACACATCACTTTGATCCCGGACTATGTCTTTAGGTCCATCACATATTTAGACTTACTGGTCGACATCGCATCGTGATTAATTTCCGAATTTTCCTTGCCATAAAGAAGTACTCTATTTTGGAAGACGAGAAGAGCGTCGAGTGCAGACCACACACCACAAGCGGCGATGGCCGAAAAAATGTGGCTTTTCTCTCTTGGGCCGTCGTCACTTGTGGTGTTTTGTCTGCAGTCTGCACTCGACGCTTTTCTCGTCTTCCGAAATAGAGGGTATCAAGCTTACCAGTCCTAATGCTCAAACAATGCTTACAAAGCTACAACTTATCAAGCTTGATACTTATTCTGTTAATATTTCGATGTTTTTTATCAAGAGAAAACCCAGGCAAAACATTAAATGGTTCTCGGAGATTTATTGATTATTCTGCATGAATCTCTACAGTGAAAAAAGGACCACTCCTTGTTACGCCATGCACCTGCCATCCACGTAGAATCGCAGAGGCGATTGACCCCTATGAAGCCTAACAAAACATCAGTTGGTTACATAACCTCGTAACACCCAATTTTTCAGACGGCTGCCCGTTTCGTGCCACCCTGCTTGACCAGTTCGCATCAGCGATGATTGAACGGACATTGGAATGGGGCGAGAAGAAAGACAGAACCGAGGTAGGAGTTCTTAAATCATCCTAGAACGTCACTGAAGAAGTGAGGAAGGAGATGTGACGAAATTTTACCTAGCGAGAATTGCTACCTAAAGGGACTTTAACCGCGGCACTAAAACGCTTGAGACGGGACGTGGTCGCAGTCAAAACGGCCTCAATACTTGCTTTCACTGACCGCACCCAAAATAGGATATACACAAGATTTCTAGTGATTTCAGGTCACGCAAACGGGTTGGACAAAGATCGTGCTTTTCGTAGTGGAGCAGATCAAAGAAGGTTTCCATGACGAGGTCAAACGACAACGGCGAGTCAAACCGCGACATCTCGGGGTAAGATTTTTTTTGACGCAGTCAGGGATTTGTTGCAAGTTATCGCACCACACACTGCCTTGGTGTTCCGCATCATGGTTTCTAAAAGCGATCGTGAAGATTATAATGTTCCCTTTGGGCGCTTGCGTACCGTAACCCAACACGCGAAAAATTCGCCGTTAGGTTCGATGTTATTGGTGCAGGCGCACAACAAGCACCCTACCGCACGCGCAAATTTGTCTCGCAAGTCTCGTGTCATCAATTTTCCGTGCGTGCCCACCTTCCAATTACGCTGCGACTTTCCTCCGATTTTGGGTTGCTGCCCTGGGAAACCGGGGTGATCTCACCAACTGCAGTATCTGCCTTAGGCCGATGTCAGACTTTGCGAATCGCGCGATTCGCTAGCGTCTGCGGTCGCGTCGCGGCCAGTGAATCACTCAATTGGCTGGTACCGCAACGCGACCGCGGACGCTAGCGAATCGCGCGAATCGCGCGATTCGCAAAGTCTGACATCGGCCTTAATGCTAGCGTTGCACGCTGGAGGCTTGCAGCTGCGCTCCGGCGCCGCCGTGGGTTACGGTATTCGAGCGCCCCAAGGGAACAAAATAATCTTGTCAAGCGATCGCCCAAATTTCGGTAAGAATCATGTCAAATTGGGGTCCTATACATTGCTGTTGTGTCGCGGCGTTCGGCTGAGTCAGAATTCATGAGAATATGAGCCCCATAATATGGTCAACGGTCAATCTTTGGAAGTTGACAGAATCTTTGGGTAGCTTACTATAGCCACTGGAGGTCATTTAGCAGAACAATTAGTAATATAGATTAGTGGGAGGAAAGGGGAAGGAACTTCCAAATCCTCGACAATACACGAAATTCCGGTTCAACGCTAGAGGATAAGTACGCCAATTTTTCGAACACGGTAGGTGCAAATGTGTGTATGTACGGCACAAATCCCTACTTCCTATGCGTGTCCAGTGACTGCCCTTACCCCCACACCCTGAATGGATTGCACTCTCCTTGACTCACGGACTCTCCGATTCTCGTGACACCACAGCGGTGGAAAGCAGTCCGCACGTACACGTCTTTCATGCCCACCGTATTCAGAAAATCGGCTTGCCCATCCCACTTGCATTGCACTGGAGTTTCTTATTTCGCTATCTTCATCAGATCCATGGGAAAACATAACGTACCTCGGCGCTACACAAGTACGGCGGCCCCGCCGCATTTTTCCGGTACGGTAGTCGCGAAATGTACGTGGAGACCGCAGCCCAGTGCTATGACCTAACGATAATCGATGGACTAAGCCTTTGGAAGGGAGCCTCTCCCTTCTCCAAAGGCTTAGTCCATCGATCAATAGTGTGTATCTGAACGATCCAGAGGCGGTATTCAATCCTTCCCCAGGGGTTGGGGGACGAAAATCCCTTTAAATTTTCTCTGTCTTCCCAACTGGGATTGTCCTGATAAAGGGCCTACATTTAATGTATGTATGTAGGTCAAAGTAAACATGCATTGAAAATGAAGAAACTACATCGTTCAAAACAAATAAATTTAAAGGGATTTCCGTCCCCCAACTTCCGGGGGAAGGATTGAATACCACCCCAGCAGGAAGTACCATCAAAAGTAGAAAAAACAACAAAGAAGCAGTGATTATCGATTCCCACAGCGTCTCGTTAGATCATAGCCCTGCGTACATTTCGCGCCTACCGTATCAAAAAAATGTGGCGGGCCCGTCGCATTTGTGTAGCACCCGTACCTCTTGTTCAAGAACGACATTCTTTTGCTCTCCTCAGGGACGATAGAAAAAAGGTCAGCCTGAGCGCTACTCGATTAGTAGCGACCACTTGCTTTTCCTAAGTCCGTCCAAGACTGAAGCGCCAAGAGGCGAATGAGAATGGAACTTCTCAGAGCTTCAAGGGCAATCAAGGCAATGTAAATTCAATAAACCACCGCAATGGCATCGATCGTTCAAGATACAAATTCAGTGTTGATCTCACTGCCAGAATGCGCGAATGTTTCTAAGTTTCCAACTTATGCTTAGAAAAGTGCTATCATCTTCTCCGCGACAAACCCACGACTTCATAATAAGCCAAAACCTGCTAAATGGCGTAAATTCACGTTGTAAGACTGCGCGTATCCACCCCTCACACAAGCAGATAATAAAGGCCGCAGAACGACTGCTACCGTAACCTGTGGCCGCGCCCGCGCTCCGGCCAGTTCGACACGCTGCCACATTCACCCTTCTACAGCTCAGGTGCTTCCGTACAATGGACGGGCTCCGTATCGTCCACACTGTCGTGGAGTGCGCAGAAAAACGACAAAAGAGGCATGCCGAATGCCACGTGGCATCGATTTGTTGCGGCGGCGGATTACGGTAACAGCCGTTCCGGCGGCCGTTGTTATCCGTCTAATCCCCCTCCACTAATCCTAAACCATGACCCCTAATGCGAACAAGATGATACGTTAGCTTAACAAAGCCTCTCATTCTGGAAAAGTTGAAGGGCTAGAGATTTGTTGGCTCTGGGCCGACGTGAGCAACCAAAAGCATTTTTTTCGAGCGTTGCAAACTAGAGAATCATTTTTACACCAGCGAATGTTCACCTACTCTGGAGGGCTGAGAAATCGTCCTTGTTTATTGCACCAAAATGCATCCCTTATTGGTATAGCTTTAATGATTTTGTGAAATCTGCTGATATTAACTGACTTGAAGGCAACATTTCAGCATCGCTCTGACTACGCTTCACTTTCCGAAACGTCCAGCCACTCCCTTCCACGGAATGTGCCGGAAATCAAGCGATTCAACACTGTCGACAATCTCTGAACCCCACAAAACAGCTGTGATGTCTCTTCAGGCAGCCGTCCACTGGTGGCTGTGAGACGAAGTGAATCGACGAAGCACCTAAGAAGGCTTCGATTGGACGGATGCCGACGATTCCGTGACCCCCAGGTGATCCCGCACAAAATGGGCGGTCTTTGACTCCCGATTTGCTCTCTGCTTCTCTAATTCTCTGAATAATCGAGTGTTCTATGCAGCGCTTCTTTTCTTTTTCAGTCTGGCTTCCTCTGTACAAAACCATCACACTGGTTATCCACCCTTTGAGTTGCTGTAATAGAACACATTTGTCCCAAACACCTCAACGGGTACACTAAGGTGTTCAAAATATTGTTCACTGTCCACTTTTACTTAATCGTAATAACTGACGACTTCACGTACTGGATTCGGCGCGCTATTCGACACCAAGGCATCTCCCATCCCTCGACTGAACGCTCTCCCAACTCAATCGAGGTGTGGGGCAGGAGGAGTACCCGGCAGGAGATCCGTGGTACGGCAAGAAGGCAGAGACGCACACGGGTCACTGGACGAGTTTCAGTGCGCGTGCTGTTTAATATGAGACGTATTGTGGTCCATTCTTTTTAGCTTCACGAGAAATCGCTGCAGTGCGCGCTGCGAATTATCCGCTGACTTGTCTGCGCGTCCGCCTTCTTGACGCGCGACAGGCTCTTGTTGAGAACTCAGTGCAGGAGGCTACCGCGCGGCAAACAGCTTGGGCGTTGCAGGACGAGTCTGTGGCCGCTAGCGGCGGGTCACTCAAGGTGTCCTTATTCTGCGTCGAATACCTTACCTCTCACGACGTGAATTCAAAAATCAATACTTGCGAAGGCCAATCATTATTTTCCTGGAGAAGGAAATACAAGAGAGCGAGTGTGTACTTGAGAGCTCTTCGTGTATGATTTCCTACTCGGCGTTGAAGCGTGGACAGAAGTGGCTTGATTGGTTAAGTTGTGGTCCGCAGCAGTCACGCACATGCGCCATGTTCGTCGCCCGGTGGGCCACCTGTAACCACACCTCATAAATCGCGCACCGATTCATGCCCATTCGCGCCTCTTCGCATTCTTTCGATTCTTCCAATGTAACCCAACCCGATCACATTATGTCACTTTGATTTTCCATGTCCATATATTATTCAAAAATAAAGTGAACATTGCAATAAAGTTTACGCTTGTAGTTACACACATACACGCAATAAGAAAGTCGGATGAGAGAAAAGACGAGGAGTTTCTTAGAAAAGATGGAAAAAGGAGAAAAGACGAAATTTTATACACCAAAAATGAATCATGAAGGCAAGGTGGAATTATATACATCTCTGTCAGATGCTGTCTACAAAAATGTTAAAAGTTGTTGGTCAACGTAATGAGACCCTTCTTTTGTTCGGGGGAGGGGTCAACTTAGTTGGGAAGAAGGGACGCGGATTACGTGACTATTTTAACTCGATTACGTGACTACTCGAACTCTCCCCTATTCGATCCGCGGTAAAGCCAGGGCGCAGACGATTAGAGAATGGCGCTTGGCTCGGCTTCAAAACACAGGAAGGGAGGTGACAACCCTAAGGCTAAGCCTCGGAGGGAGAAGGGACTCCGGAGTGGGTGAGCAAATTACATTGTAGCAAAGATTTGATGTGTCGATCACACTATCAGAGTTCGCTGTTTAAAGCGAGAGCCAGGCAAGAGCATCGAGTCGAGGCAGTTCAAAGGAAAGAGTTCAAGTTGTCCGTACACCAGGCACGAGTTGCTTTGTTCTTCTTCACCTCTGAGGTCTACTAGGGGCCGTTTCTATTACGTCGCACTGTGGCAGTTTTGAAATACAAGAAGCATGCTTATAAGGACGAATTTTACGATGGAAAAGCAACCCATTCCAAATTGAGGTAGAGATGGTGAGTAGTACCAGAAAGAAAGCGAAACCACGAAAAACGGCCCAGAACCGGAGAAATGGGACCCCTTCCTTCCGTTGATTTGAGCATTGATGGGACTCTCATCGCTTTGCCCTCTTCACCCTACGCTCTCTCAGCTATCTAATCACTCGCCACCTATTGTACTACGGCGAGTGATCAGACGATCGGTGGGCGGAGATCGCCGAACTCGCCAACTTTGAGCCATGCTAGATCTCAGAGGTCAAATCTTTCGATGCCGATTGCGTGTCTGTCCGCACCCTCAAGAGATTCACCGCTCTCCCCACTAGGCGATTTCTCCCTTCTTCGACCTTCGTTCTTTCCGTGCAATCCTCCTTTAAGCCTCTTTCGTTAGCTAAAACACTTTTTTACGGTTGGAGAATCTAGAACACACTGTACTGTGGCGAGAGAACGACGGACGGAGAAAGCGTGACAGAGTGCTTGTGACACAGGTATTGCAACGGTAGGCGTGCACTGTTGCTAGTCCTAAGGGGCCACGCCTGTGTTTCAAGCCTGCTCAGTCGCGAAAGATACTGTATTTGCAGTTACGTACCCAGCAAGCTCAAAAGAGAGAGACTGGTATGTTTCTTCTCACAGAGCGCGCCTTTTTTCACTGATTCCGCATTGCTCCATGTTGTGCGAAATTTCAATTTCTTCATAATAGAACGGTTTTTTTTTTGAAAACGCAACAATACAAGCTTCCGTTGAATGGTTCTCGGCTGAGGCATGGATGCAATCATCAAGAACTACTTTGCTTTTCAGGAATGGGATCTCGTCTCTATCGCAACATACGGGAAGTTGTAGTGACAATGCAAATCAAACCACGCAAAAATATCCTTTTTAAGGGAAGAGATACTCCAGGGGACGTGACCAATTTTCATTTGCCCTGAAGTTCCATCGCTTTTCTAGGCCTAGTCCTGGATGCACCCATGCGGTAGCGCTTTTGTTTTTTCGAGCGGAAGATCTCCTCAAGGGATCAGTGATGAAGGGGGGGGGGGGAGAAGAAGAGTATGGAGACCTGGACGCTTTATCCATTCTTGCTGAGTTCTGCTTGCTACTATTCAATTATCGCAGCGGGAAAAAAGCTTTCGAAACCGAGTGAATAAGCAGTCAGTGGTCCCATTTCAATTGAATCAGCTAGTGAGTGCGCCCTCACTCGTAGATTTCAGAAGACATGAGGTACACCTCGCGAAGGCGGGTTTTCCTTATCCATTTTCCTTTCACCTCGATTTCTAGAGGTTGTTAGGTCGAGCGAGTGATGCGATTATTTAGATTCCTGCGCCGAATCGGTAACTCATGGTCAAATACGTCCAGTGCCTCGACTTGGCATGTCCGATATCGCTTTCATGGGCTCGCGGCTCTATGCTTGTGTTTGAGCCCACATTTACCGAAAATGAGCAAGGTGTTTTCCAAATGACCAACCATAGGTACAAGCTAAACCGTACAAGCAGCCGCATATCTTCATTCAAGAATTCAACGGAGAAATAAGTGCTTGTGAGTTCTGCAAGCACGAGTCATATGACTGTAATCTAGTCGTGGCCATCTTAAACCTTTGTCACGTCGGAACAGCGACAAATCGGTCTACTTGCTGGAATTAAAAGATTATGCATGAAGTGTAAGTAACTATTAACATACCTCTCAAAACGAGAAGAGCGTCGGATGCAGACCACACACCACAAGTGACGACGGCCTCCAAGTAAATCTGGTTAGTAGTGGTTCGCAGTGATAGCTTTCTTAAATGACAATTATAACTAGCGACAACCGATCAGACCTTGAAATTTTGTTACTCTAGAAAGAAAACAAAAACCAGTTCACTTCTGCCAATATAAACAGACGAACGGCACGCAATTAATATCAGGGACGGTAGTAAAGTGCCCTAGACTGGCAATCAAATGTGGTGATTTACACCCATTGGCGAGGATAGAGAACGTGGAAACATGGACATGACCCTAGTTGAAACCGCCAGCCTCGCCACACGACCTGCAAAACTTGCAACCCTCTCGGACTTGAGCCCTGGATGGTAGGGCTCATAGCCGGTTTTTTGCCACTGCACCAGGGATCACTCGACCACAGCACTGGAAGAGATGTTGATGAAAGGTATGCAATGGATGTTGTTTGCAAATCTTAGTCTCCAAGCGGTGCTGATCCAGCAACCTTGCCAGCGGCAGCGTGGAACGTCCCCATTGAGCCAATGGCAATTTGCCATAGGCGAAGTGGTGAGCATCCACCACGTTGCTACTAGATGTCCAAAATGTTTGCAACTTTTGTGGGTTATTGCCTTTCCTCTAGAACTCTCTCACCGTCAATAAGAAGGGCTCCATAGTGCAGTGGTAGCGATGCCGCTCATGGGACGATGCACCGAAGGTTCAAACCCGTGTGTGACGCGACTTTTGCAAGCAACGTGGTGGATGCTCACCACTTCGCCTATGGCAAATTGCCATTGGCTCAATGGGGACGTTCCACGCTGCCGCTGGCAAGGTTGCTGGATCAGCACCGCTTGGAGACTAAGATTTGCAAACAACATCCATTGCATACCTTTCATCAACATCTCTTCCAGTGTTGTGGTCGAGTGATCCCTGGTGCAGTGGCAAAAAACCAGCCTATGAGCCCTACCATCCAGGGGCTCAATTCCGAGAGAGTTGCAAGTTTTGCAGGTCGGGTGGCGAGGCTCGCGGTTTCAACTAGGGTCATGTCCATGTTTCCACGTTCTCTATTCCTCGTGGGTGTAAATCACCACATTTGATTGCCAGTCTAGGGCACTTTACTACCGTCCCTGAATTGCGGACGCGGTTGGCGTCTGTTATATTGGCCAGAAGTGAAATGGTTTAGATTTTCTCTATCGTAGTAGGAACAAAATTTCAAAGGTTCGGTGATCGCTGATGTTCGGCTACGTATAATGTGCTTTCGTGGTTTCGCTTTCTTTCTGGTACTACTCACCATCTCTACCTCAACTTGGAATGGGTTGCTTTTCCATCGTAAATTCGTCCTTTAATATGCGGTGCTGCTGTATTTCAAAACTGCCACAGTGCGACGAAATAGAAACGGCCCCCATAGTAGACCTCAGAGGTGAAGAAGAACAAAGCACCTCGTGCCT